AGCCAATGACTGGTATATGTCAAAATCTGGTAAATACTGTCAGGAGATTATAGCCAGGTATAACAGATTTTATATCAATATTTTTTAAAAGAATTAACTTACTCAACAAAAAATTAGTAAATTGTTTAATTGTTATGCCTTGCGTGCATGTTAAAACATTTAATTATAATGATATGCTGGAAGTCATAAAACCCTAAGATCCAGGACTCTTTTCGAAAGAAAAAAATGTACGACTAAAATTGATTGTAAGTTATACTGAAATGTTCATGACTTGCAAGTCTTTATACTCTTAAGATTTTTTGTGAAAAGAGTTGTTAACATGAAAATAGACAATTTTTTTTGTTTTTATTTGTTATTTTCTATAAATGCATTTTCCTAGCTTATTGAATGGCAAATTTTTACATCCATGTTAAACTTTATTAGAAAAAGGATTAGCCTGAGCTTCCTTTTAAATCATTAGAAAAGTACTTTTCTTGGTATCAAAAACACTGTTCCTGGGGCCAAAAGGTATTCAGGTTAAATATAAAATCAATATACATAAATTCAAGGTGTTCAAAGGAAATGTGTGGGGTATACATGGTATATGTCAATGAGGACACATATATATACTAGATAAAATAGATAATTTTAGTGAAAATATTGATTTGGTGCACCTGTAAACTGATTTTTAAATAATAATTAAAAACTGTATATTGGGAAGTAAAATAGTCTTACAACTACTATAAACATGATAAATTCAGAAATTAATGCATACATTTATAATGGTGAATCCCTGATTACTTTTAATTAATGCAAAAGAACATTTGTGAAGAAAATCACTACTGAAACTATGAATGCAAGTTTTTATCATTGCATACCTGATACTGTCATATTTTTTGCATTCATAAAAAACATTGTGCACAATAATTTCTGAATTTACAGGATTCAAAATTATTTTTTTTATTTTGAACTATAGACTCTTTTAGAAAATCTAACAAAAATGCCAAATTTATAATAAATGGTCAGGGATTAAACTCACATTTACCACCTCTGCACCAGACAAGCTTGATATCAAGAAACATTTTTTTTTGTCTTTACAGAGGTAATTAAGGGTCAATTGTACCTCATATTTTCACCTCTTGGAAAAATGTGTCATTACTCGCAAAACATTGATTTAACTGAAAACTGATTAACCAAACATATAAGCATATCATATTATCATTTAAAGTTGAACCAGTTGGCAGTTCTATCATTATAGCATTCAAATGATCCAAACAAAACATTGTCTTAAAAAGCTTAATATCACTTTTCTTCCTAGAAGTTTCAAATATCATCGTGGATACACAAAATGTTAAAAAAGGGCTAATATAAAATTGAGAATGGAAATGGGGAATATGTCAGAGACGACAAACCGACCAAAGAGCAGAATGTTCATTGTGATCTGTCTTTAGTGTCTATCTTTCACTTATCATGTTTATTGTTTTAGAATAAAATTTTCGAAAAGTGAATTGATTTTGAACATGATAAAATTTATAGCATTAGGAAATGGTTGACAAAATTTTTAATACAGCTTCGAAAATGACATGATAAAATTATATTATCAATTAAGTAGAAGACTAAAATATGATGTCTTAAGTTTGTTTGTGACTGTTTGTGACTGTTTGTTTGTCTGTTTGGTGGAGTTGAGCACCCATGTCAATGACCTTTGCTACCCGGGAGCAAGAGTACCCAGAGAAAACCATGACCTTCAACAGGAAAACTTTATCAATTTAGATTGGAGTTAAGCACCATCCTCGAAAGGAGCAGGGATCACACTCAACTGACCATGACTGAGGGAGCTTGGGCAAATATCTTTCACAATCTCTCTGTTGGCAGGTATGTGACCATGTAGATGAACAACTTAGACCACATTTAGCCACTGATACCCCTGATATTGAGCAACACGATGGGTGCCACATGTGTAGCAGGATCTGCTTTCCTTTCCGGAGAACCTGAGATCACCCCGTTTTTTGTGGGGTTTGTGTTGCTCAGTCTTTAGTTTTCCATGTTGTGTTTTGTGTACTATTGTTTGTCTGTTGGTCTTTTTCTTTTTTAACCATGGCGTTGTGTTCAGTTCATTTTTGACTTATTAGTTTGAACGTCCCTTTGGTATACATGGTATATTCTGTTGCCTCTCTTTTTCAATACTTATATTATCTTTACTAGAATAGTCAGCAAAAACAAAGTGTAGCTACCTCCCTTTCTTTAATAAGAATAAGAATAAGAATAAGAATTTTATTAGTTTAAAATCCAAACAATAGGATTGTTACTAAATAAACAAACCAATACAAAACCAAAACAAAACAAACAAACAGACAGACAGACAGGCATATTAATGACAAAACGATAGACATTAAACAATACAAACATGTAGCATTGAAAAACAAAAAAATAAAGATTATTATTATTAAGTATTATACTATTTTTGACAGCATGCCTCCTCTATAAAATTATCAATTCAAATATTATGATTATATATAACATTATAAGTTAAGCCACCAATCACACACAGTTCATATATTGACATTATAATTGTTTCTCTCATTATACATTTCACTTATATTGTTAACAATGATACGTAAAATATCACATTCTTCACAAGAAAATATAAAATCAAATTTGTTTTCTTTACTCATTGAATTAAAACTGGGGACAATACTAGAAATTTCATTAAACATTTTGATCCTAGTTTTATTAATTTCTGTACATGTTATGATAAATGGTATTCATCTTCCACCTCTTTATGGCATAAAGGACATATTCTATTTTCCAAGGCCGTTTTGTTGTATCTACCGCGTTCAACAGCCAGCATACTATTACTTATTCTTATTTTGGCATAATTTTTTGTAACATTTTTATCTAAATTCAAAAAAAGGTACTTTTCTAGTTCATACTATACTTTAAATTTTCTGTAGGTTCTTAGTTTATTTCCATTTATTGAATTATCATCATTAAAGAGACAATTTTTCCAAAATATAATGTAATTTTCATTGAGCTTCTTCACGAGGGCTAAAAGTAATCGTTTTTTAGAAAAGGTACATTGATTTTCCCAAACATGAGTGAAATTCAATTTTGATAGTAGCATTTTAATTTTTGAAGCAAATCCATCATTTAACTGCTTGTTAACTTTATAAACATTATATAATAAAGACTCATTTTCATTTGAATTTAAAATATGTAACCAAAATCCTACAGAAGACTTAAGGGCCTGTATACCAATAGGGTACATTCCCAATTCAGCTAATACAGCTGTATTTACTGCCTTTGAATTAACATTAAGAAGACTTTTCGCAAATTTGATCTGGAGTTTTACTGATTCCATTGATAAGTATTGAGATTCAAGAGTTTTGTTGTTCTTCACAATATTTAGTGACCATATCTCACTACAATACAGTAATATTGGACTAACACAAGAATTAAAAAGTTTCATATGGGAAAAACATCCATCTTATCTGAGTAAAGGATTTTTTAAATACAAAACAATGCCTTTGAAGCTTTTTTACAGAGGAGATTTACAGCATTAGTGAAAATTCCTGATGGCTTGAATAGTATACCTAAATATCTATATTCTGTGCAGCATTCGATTACTTCATTATTCAATACAAACTTGTCTTTAGTAAGTTTTTTACCACTTTTATTAAATATCATTGTTTTCGTCTTGTCAAGATTGACAGTCAAGTTCCATTGTTTAACTTGTTTAGACAATTTTGTAAACCTTCTGAAGATTCTGATATTAATACTAAGTCATCAGCATATAAAAGACTAGACAATTTTATGTCATGTAATGTTACAGGATCACATGAGTTATCAAACATGGAGGTTAAATCATTTATATAAAAAGAAAATAAGGTAGTGCTTAGAATGCAGCCTTGTTTTACTCCAACTGTGGAAGGAAACATCTTAGTAATGCCTTCAGTGACTTTAACTGCAAATAAAACTTCTTTGTACACATCTTTTAGAATATTGAGGAATGGTCCATTTATGTTATATTCAGCAAGTTTGTGTAACAGGGCCTCTCTATTTATAGTGTCAAAAGCTTTTTTAAAATCAATAAAACATGCATATATTCTTTTGTTTGATTTAAAAGCTTTATCAATAATAGTTTTTAAAGTTAGAATTTGATCACTAGTTCTGCATCCTTTTTTTAATCCAATCTGTTCACGACAAATAATTTTATTAGTTTCAGAATACTTTTCTAAACGATTATATAAAACTCTTGAGAAAAATTTTCCTAAGCAGCTAGAAAGTGCTATACCTCTGTAGTTTGAGGGGTTATTAAAACACCCTCCTTTAAAAACTGGTTTAATGTAATTTTCTCTCCATTTAGAAGGATATATACCAGTAAAAAGAATTAAGTTAAATAATTTTACATACATGTTGACGTTCATAGTGCAAGATATTTTCAACATTTCATTTGTTAACCCATCAGAACCACATGATTTCTTATTTTTCAAGGCTTTCATAGCAAGCAGCACTTCCTCTGCAGTTATCCTAACATTTAAATTTTTGTTACAATTATTCAAAAAATTACCATCAGTACATGATTTGATATCAGAATTTTTGTTATGGGTAGTATTCATAAGATTTTTGAAGTATTCAAACCATTCTTTAGCTTGAATGTTTGAACTAGGATCATTCAGTTCTTTTTTCTTTAAAGTGTTAACCGTTTTCCAAAACTCATCTGAAGAATTATTTGATTCCAAGATTTTAGTCAGCATTTTATTTCTAAATTGTCTATAATTTTTCCTTATCAATCTATTTAGTACCTTTCTTTTGGACATAACTTCTAACCTTAGTTGCTTGTTCCATGGTTCTTTACACAATTTCCTAGTATGGTGTTTTAAAGCTCTAAATTGGGCTTCACATTCATTATTATAGTAGGGTTTTTTAACTTTTCGGCAATTTACTTTTGAGTGGAAGGTCAGCTGTTACACTTCCAAAAATTTTGCCCTCCTCCACCCTATTTTTTCAAATCTTCTTACCTGTGCTGTAACAGTTAATTCTTCCCCAGCTCTGACAGATAATTCTCCATTGTCTGGATCACCATCAAAATCATATAAAACTTTTACCTGAAAATAAATAAAATATATAGATATCAAAACTGTTGCAAAGTTAACCTTTTAGTAGAAGAAAGCAGTTAAGATACATGTATAACTCTTTTAATTAAAGTGTGATCGACATTTAGAGTCAACATTTTGAGAACTAGTAGGTATTAAAATCATATGTCAACATCATTGAATGACTGATACAGTACAATGAAACCTGCTTATTATATCATACCTCCTAAGTATGAAGATTTTGTGCAAAAACAAGAGTTCTTGAAAGGTGGTGGTCTGAAGGCTTTGACCATCAAAATTTTGCAAAGGACCAACACAATTTTGGTATTTTGCAATAGAAATAATAGTGATCATGAGGACCAGCAGATTTTCTTAATGGACCACCAGGGAAAAAAAAGATTCCAAGAACTCTGCAAAAAAGAAGAGTGACCCTCTCTACACAGGTTAAATTCCTAAAGAATATTGATTTAAGAATACTTTAAACTGGTTTCTGGTTTACTTTATATGGTTCCAGTTATAGGTTTAACTGTAGTATAAGAAATGCAAGTAGGTTAGGCTGTTCCAGTTATTAATGTTTGTATACAATGCAGGTTTCACTGTAGTTTAAGGAAATGCAAGTAAATTAGGCTGTTCCAGTTATTATTGTTTGTATACAATGTAGGTTTCACTGTAGTTTAAGAAAATGCAATTAAATTAGGCTGTTCCAGTTATTTTTGTTTGTATACAATGTAGGTTTCATTGTTCTTTAAGGAAATGCAAGTAAATTAGGCTGTTCCAGTTATTATTGTTTGTATACAATGTAGTATCACTGTAGTTTAAGGAAATGCAAGTAAATTAGGCTGTTCCAGTTATTATTGTTTGTATACAATGTAGGTTTCATTGTTCTTTAAGGAAATGCAAATAAATAAGGCTGTTCCATTTATTATTGTTTGTATACAATGTGTGTTTCACTATAGTTTGATAAAATGCAAGTAAATTAGGCTGTTCCGGTTAATATTATTTGTATGCATACAATGTACGTTTTACTGTAGTTTGATGAAATGCAAGAAAATTAGGCTGTTCCGGTTATCATTGTTTGAATACAATGTACGTTTCACTGTTGTTTGATGAAATGCAAGGACATGAGGATGTTCCAGTTATAATTATTTGTATAAAATGTAGGTTTCACTGTATTTTGATGAAATGCAAGTAATTAAAGCTATCACTCTAAAAAAAAAATTAGTTAACATCAATCAATGTGTCTGATCCAATATTGATTATTACAGTACATAATTTGAAGTTTAATCTTACCTCCATCTTCAGTCATTAAATCATTTCTTTTAAAAAGAACAATTAAGACATTTTTTTTTTCTTCAATTCGTAAAATGTTTAAATCCATAAAAATCTCTATAAAAATAGCAATTTATCTTTAAATATAACTGTGTATCTGGGATTTAATGTTGAATTAATCTACTACAAAAGTCCACTAATAAACATTTCAAATGTTCGATTTCTTTCCAATTAATCGAATAAAAAGGGGTGGAGTACATATAAAATAATTGATTTCATTCATACGACAAAATATAACTAACTCGGATACAGTTTGTTTCTTTCAACATGTTTAGTGTCATTATAAAATTATTATGGACAGCTAAAAATGTACAGGAATTGGTCTTTTTTTCAAGCTAATTTTCAGAAAAAATTTCAAATAAATATATCTAAATCGTTGGGTTTAATATTTTTATAGACTAAAGTAATAAAATTCTTCAACATCAGGTCTTTCATGTCTTCAGCAAAGCAATAAAATATAATGTGTGTAAATGATTAACTTATTATATTCTTTATGGTTCATTTAAACATTATATATATCTGTACGAAAACAGAATTTTTGTTTTTGGTAATATATGCCTTGGCAGACATTTCTAAGTTCTTTCAAAATGTCTTACATTTTCAACAAGTCAATTCATCACACATCTATATATAATTAGAGCATTTTTGTGGTTCTTAGAAGCATAACTGTACCACACAGTTTTAGATCTGGTGGAAGACATAATAGTTGACATGGATTAAACACAATACTACATACTAGCTAGCTAGTAACTAGGGTTACTTATAATATTGGTTGGTCACCTTGAACTTCATTCAACATTTTCAATAGATAATATTCTTGCCAAAATCACAGGGAATAATCATTTACCTTTGAAAGGAGGTGGGTGGGGGGGGGGGGGGGGGGTAATGGATTGAAGAAAAAACCTTTTTAAAAGGGAGAAAATACTTGTGTGGTACGTAAAAATATTTCATAATAAAAAAGATGTACCCCCCTCCAAGTTAAATGGTTGTTCCATTACCATGCTTAACATCCCTCTTACATATTACCCCATGATAATTCTTAACAAGTTCAATATATTTCATACTGTATACATTTCTGTATAATTATCTTTGTCTGTAATTGATATCAATAATCATGATAATTATTCACACAGAAAATTTTTTCTCAAATTATATTTTACCTGCATCCCTTTCTGAATCATTTTCCAATAATAATCTCTCTTCCTATTTTCGTGTAATATTTAATAATAAAAACAAATTTAAATCACCAATTGAATTGATCAAGTACATGAGTCACAAATACTATATAAATTTAAACAGGGCCACCTTATTAGTAATAAATACAGTGGTGTGATACTTGAGTGACTCAAATTAACATCTATCGGCCAGTAACAAGGGTTTGTTTACCCGATCATTAAACATGTTAAAGATGTTCTTATCGTAATTCATCAAAATTAATCATTTCATTTTTTTGTTGTTACCTGTTGGTTGATGAGGCATTTATGATATTTTCTTTGATTTATCATTACTTTAGGCTAGAGACTTGTCGAGAAAAGTGTACTGAAAGATGTGAAAGAAGAATTTCAAGGCTTTACCTGTTAATTAGGGACCATAAATCCTAATACATATAAATTAATATATATCTATGTATTGTCAGAGATTCAAAAATGTAAACGTGTGGCCAGTTAGGTCAGGAACTCCAGATATATATATGAGGGTCTGGATGGCCTTTGGGGGTCTTCATATCTGAATTCTTTCTTTTTTTGAGTTATTGTTCTTTATTTTATATTTTATCACCCTGTTATTCACTATTTTTTCATTGTCGTAATGTTCTATTGTATTGTTTATTTGTGTGTTTCTCTGTCCTGTATGTTCTTCCATTTATTTGTATTGTAGTCCTGTCATGTAATGTTGTGATTTTAGTGTTATATTTAACATTGCCATTAAAGCGGGAGGTTTGGCTAGCCACAAAACCAGGTTCAACCCATCATTTTTTCTTAAAATGTCCTGTACCAAGTCAGGAAATTGGCTTTTGTTATCTTATAGTTCGTTTCTGTGTGTGTGGCATTTTAGTGTTTCTGTTGTGTCTTTTTTCTCCTCTTATATTTTATGTGTTTCCCTCAGTTTTAGTTTTTTTAGTTTGCAACCTGGATTTGTTTTTTCTCAATCCATTTATGAATTTCGAACAGCGGTATACTGGTATACTACTGTTGCCTTTATTTTTGTTTTATTTGCCCTATTTTTTTTTTTGAAGTTATGGTCTGGACATTATTCTCTTCAGTGAACCCCATCAGGACCCTCATATATCGTTATAGTACATGAATTTCCTTATTTTAACTGTACAACATTTTTACTGTAAAGAAAATTTATAATTCAGATTTGCTTAATAAGGAAATGGCTAACTACGACAAAAGAATTTTTTTCTGAATAAAGCAATACATTGTTGATTTAAATTTACATAACTTTGTACATGTTGTATAAAGATAAACAAATAAAATTACCTAATGCTTTTTGACCCTGAACTATCTGAAGCATCAAACTTTAGAATTAAAAAAGAAAGATTTCTACATAAATGGTGTCACATGAGAAAACATGTCATTTTGCATAAAATTATTTTAACATGTTTAACTGGGATTTTAATTAAATGTGGTTTACATTTTAAACATTATTATCGCTACACAACTAGCAAAATATGCTTAAGATTAAGAAGCTAAGTAAAGCATGAAATGTAAAACTATATAATAAAATTGAGAATGGAAATGGGGAATGTGTCAAAGAGACAACAACCCGACCAAAGAGCAGAAAACAGCTGAAGGCCACCAATGGGTCTTCAATACAGCCAGAAAATCCTGGGCGCAGCTTGATACGACCGCAGAGATCGAACCCTGAACAGTTCGGGCAAGTATGGACACAACATTCAAGCTTGATACAGCACTGAATTTGGATTGTAATTAAATATTTGACACATCATAGGTTTCTGACACAGAATGAATGTGGTCTAAGAACTTAAATTTTTTTAATTTACCTATTCAAACCATATCATTATTATTTGCTTTTATATATATTTAATCAGAAATAACCAATTTAAAATGGAAAATTTTAAAGAAAAAAAAGGAAAAAAAAAATCCCCCCCCCCAATTTTTTGATCCCCTTATGATTCATCACCCCCAAACTCAATCCCAGCCTTCCCTTTGTGGTATGGTACCTTGCAATACAATTTCAGAGAGATCCATACACTTGAACACAAGTTATTGTCTGTAAACTAGAAAAATGCTTGTTTTTTTGCCCCTTTTTGGCCCCAAATTCCTAAATGTTTAGGGCAATTACCCCCAAACTCAAACCCAGCTTTCCCTTTGTGATATGGAACCTTGTAGTACAATTTCATAAAGATCCATACACTTACACACAAGTTATTGTCCTGAAACTAGAAAAATGCTTGTTTTTTGGCCCCTTATTCCTAAAATTTTGAGGCAATTTGTGTAAGGAATATGTTAAAGAGACAACAACCCGACCAAAACGCAGAAGACAGCTGAAGGCCACCAATGGGTCTTCAATACAGCGAGAAAATCCCGCACAGGGAGTCATGTAAGTACTGGACAAGTCTGATGTCCCAGACTACTAAAATTATATTCTGACTGGTATTAGTACTTGAAAAACTTTGTTTAGACACGTAGAAAAATGTCAGGATATTGTTCTTCAGACTAGTAGTTGGAAAAGATTTTGTTGCAGACTGAACTAGGTATAAAATCAATTTTTCAATCAATTCTTACCAAATTAAAGGTTTCATTCTTGGATTGCACATACATTATAGTATTTACAAATGATATTGGTAAGATTCATCAGATCATGGGATTTAAACCTGTTAAACGTTTCCTTGTTTACTTATTTCACCTTTTTAGTCAAGTCATACTTTTTGTTTACATTGTACATGATGACAAAGATGAGGAAAGGAAACAAAAATCACATACAAATAGTATAGCTTAGTGTTTTAGAGAATTTTATAAAAGTGGAATTGTGAAATAATATTTCACTCTTAGCAGTCAGTTTTGGTTCATTTTTGTCAAAATATGCTAAAAAAATAGAAGATGTATTATTGGCTTGCAAGTCAATAATAATTCAACTAATTTGAATCCTATTCAACATGTTCAAACAAACTTCAATTTAACCCTTAACTCACTTTCATTGACTGATTCTTCCCGCAAAAAATCTTTCAAATACAGGTAAAACAATGATTTACATATTTTCTTAATCTATCATGTTTATGACATGAAATGCATTGTAAAAGTCCTAGAAAAATCGCAATTATACTATGGCACGTGCTTGCTATGTTTTTATATTTTTATTAATTTTTACATCAATTCATATGACCTATGAAATTCTTAGATCACCTTGGTTAATTAAATGGTGTTTATTCTAAAATGCACACCAAATGTTGATTCATTATAAAAAGTCAATGCATTATATGTTGTTTCTTTAGGACTTTTTGAAATTTTGATAGACATTTTACTATGTTATAAATAAAGTATGAGTTTTTGAGTTGAATCCTTGAATATGAGTTATGAAAGCTAATTACAGTCTTTCCTAACTATTCAAGCTTTTGTCTGACATTCTGTTAGCTAGACAGGCATGACAGCAATGTCTGACAAAACCCATTTCTGTAGGTAAAACAAAAATTATTATTTATGGCCAAGTTCCCACCCATTCATCTTTTACATGTTTTATGGGACTAAATAATTTTCTGATGGCTATAGCCCTCTACAAAATCTGGAGAATACTCCTTTCCATTTCAGAGTTTCTAGCAAAACAATTCACGTCAAAGCTGTGAATTTTAAACCATTCATTTCATTATATATTTATCTGTATTCCTTTGATCAATTTCATAAAATATGACTTTAAATAAAATGACTTAAGGTGGTACCAAACATCTTGACTAAAATTAATTTGGCTCGTTTAATTTTCATAAAATTTTGACAAAATATTTACTTTGACCATTTGACAAAAATATAAAAATTTCAAAAAACTTGAACCACACACTTTATCGGAAAAATTTCATTGGATATATATATATATAGCAGTTTGACAAACACTAAATTTGATCATTGAGAAGCTTAATATTTCCTTAACAATAGAACGTGATTAAAACGTTCAGCTGATTTTTACAGAGTTTTCTCCCTGTAGTGTTATGTACCACCTTAAGAATCATAATTTACATTGTACTGTGGATTCATTTTTATTCATTGGATATTAATTTTTTGTGGATTTCGAGGGTTCAGGTGAAATTGTTTTACAGGAACAGTAACATGAGTAACCAATTTAAGTGTTCAAGGAATTACAATTTTTTATAGGCTTGTACACAGACTTTGGAAAAACCACAAATATCCTCAATCCAGTAAAATAAATTAATCCACAGTAATTGACTAATATTCTGCAACTGCCATACATCTGTGTCCAATAACCATATGACTGCAGAGAAAAAAATTCAATTGCCAAAAAAATCTAAATTTCCAGACATGTGCATTGAATGGAATAACCTCATCCAGAGACTAAAAATATAATTAGTATTCAGGTTTTAGACACTCCTAATAAAGGTCATGTTGAGGGATGGCAATTGCATTTTTAAAATTAGTTAATGAAAAGCTAGGTAAACTAGTATTGTAAAGTTCTTTTTAAGTACCACTTAATGAAGTTAAGAGTGAAGAGTTCAGATAAGTATATATACATGATATATATATATAATTCAAATAATTTAATACTACTCGAAGCTGTGTAATCATGCTAAGCTGAAAACACACAGTGTCTAACGGGACCAATACAGCACTCCGGACAAACAGATAGAGACAAATAATTAATTTGGGGCACTGGCTGACTGACAGAATCTGGCATATACTTATTACTTTTAATATAAAAATAAGGAGATGTGGTTTGATTGCCAATGAGACAACTATCCACCAAAGTTCAAATGAAGTGGATATAAGCAATTATATATAGGCAGCCATACGGCCTTCAACAATGAGAAAAACCCATACCGTATGGTCGGCTATAAAATGTTGAGATTATATACTGTATTAAAAAGTTGGTTAGAAGGTTAGAAATCAATAAAAAAAAAAAAAGATGTATGTCTCACAAGTTAACATAAGTCATTTGAATACCCACCACCATGACCACCACATGTGGTTTTTAACAGAGCCTGTGATAATGGTGGTCTTGTGTGAATCATGTGTATGTATTGAGGGTTTAACGATTAGGGCTGGTGTTTATATGGTAAG